CCCGGTCAGAGGCAGCAGTTTTTTAGTCAGTACGAGTCTGACATAACCTTACAGCCGGCTGTAGGGTATCCATGAGGATTTCTCACCCGCTCCCCCGCCTGGGAGGAAACAAAAAGAACAAAAAAAATCAGCACCGCCTCAACACGTGTCGTTGATGTTATTTGTTTGGATTTCTATGGGTATGCGCTCACTATATCAAGCTGTCCGTGCGCGGTGTCTCGCTCGCAATCTGTACGTGTGCGTGCGGTGGGTAGATAACTCAGTGTCGCCGCACACGGGCCACACGCCACAGCCACAAACGCCGCCACGAGAAGCTAGAAGCGACTACTAAAGTGGCTGAAGCGCGCGACAGCGGCCGACTAAGGTAAGGGAGAGAGGGGTAGGAAATTGCGCGAGTGACGTGTGGCGGCGTTTTGTATCGGCGCATTAAGTGGCCGGTGCGGGCCACAAGAAGCGAGCAACGTCGATTTGTAGCGTGTGGCGGCCACCGGCGTACCGTGTGTGGCGGGTCCATATAAAATGTATAAAAACTACAAGAAATATGCCGGTGGCGGCGTTTTGTGGTTGTGGTCGGTGGCCCGTGTGCGGCGACACTCAGTGACCACTGCTGCTCGCACGCTAGCAGTGTGCTGGGGGCCGCGTTGGTTTAAAAACGCACTGCTCCTGAGTGGACTGCGGGTGGCCTGCGAGTTGGCAACGCATTTCATATTCTTCTCCATCAAGCGCAACAGCTAGTAGATTCAATTCACGGTTTGTAAAATAAAACTTGTCTTCCTTATCTCTCCATCGTCTTTTCATCAGAAGACCACGCGCGCTGGCCTACGTTGTCGCCGACTTACTGTGGTCACTATTCCTACACGAACAAAAAAAATTGGTGACTCATTTCTTTGTTGTAATATTTGCAAGTGGTATTCTTATTCTGTGTCCACGCACGTGTTCCCGCCTACCAATCCCTACAATCTGGGGTTCTTTAAGAAAGCTGTGAAGAAGCATTTCTGTAGGCTGGCAATGTGGGGTGTAGTAGTTGGTGTAGCACTCTTATAACTGCTGTACCAGCTATCTTTGCGTCTGGACTTATCACTACTTAACATCAGGTGGCGTAGAGTCATTTGCCTACCTAGCTATAAAAATAAAATAAAAACTAGTGAAATCAGACTTGTAAATTATTTATTTATTTATTGAATTTCACATTACTATAAATAATAACAATACCAGTGCTACAAAAACCTGTGTAGGTTTTACCGAGCGAATCTAGTGACGATCTCTAATACACTACTTAATTTTCGTTGACAATGTGGAGTCAACTACGCGCTTGGCGCGGCATTCACCCGTCGACGACCTGACATTCATTGGATGACAACGTGGCATCCACTCGTGTCGTGGCCCAACCGACGTTAGCTGGTTGACAACGCGGTGTCCATCTGAGTTTGTACGTTGATTAAAGAGTGGATATCACGTGACAAGGCGGTGAAGGCTGCTTTTGTAGCTGTGACCTTTACTCACCGACAGACCCACAACACCAACAGTTAAGAACTGTTCTTTGACTGTGGTCTTCTATAAGGTGGATCTTACTTCAGGCTTTTTAATTATAATGAAAATATCTTTATATTATACCAGCAATGGTTGTCTACAACTTACAAAAAGTTTCCGATAATAAACTCCTATTTGGTACACTTAATTATTACTAATTGCTTCGTCTCTACCTTCAACCAAGCGGTGATTGAATCGGTGGTTAAGTCTGACTGAATGGGTGTTCGGGAGAAGAAGAGACTTATAAAAAATATTGCTGAACCGGTGGTGAGGCATACGTAAGCCATTTTACTGACATAAAAAAGGGTTCCGTACTAATTAAAAAACAAGAAGTTCATAAGACGTAATCACTTCGTATTTAGTGCCTATTACTGTTCACACTACTGGGGCACACTTCATCTAGAATCAATTCCGATCCGAAATTATTATACCAGGGGGTTGGTGTTGATCATAATCGTTAATCCTACAATAGGGCTCTACCAGTATTTTTTCTTCTTATGTGACCTTCTCATGACTCTCGTGGGAACTTAGTGCAGTGGTTTCCCGTTGCTTTCTGCACCAGGACTTTTAGGGGATATTTGGGCCCCAAGGTTTCTGACGCCTCTTCCGTACAGGTTGCCCCGCCGGGTGTGTATGGTTATACCGCCATTGCTCGGTCGCCAGAGCCCCGTCAGTTGTCTAGCAGGGAGCACCACGGTAACCAATTGGTTACCGCCATCATACGACGCGTGCAGGTGGGGTTGACAATTGGGTCGGTAGAGCTGTTATTCCGTTCTCCCCTTACTCCCCCAAATCAAATTAAATCTGTCACACGATCCAGCATCAACGACAACTCCCATCACGCGTCGTCGCATCACGAAGGAAGCGGTGGCGCAATATTCTGACCGGCACATGACCACGACCACTCTGACAAGAGTGAACGACTAAGAAGAAGTATTTTTTATGTTAAATGGTTACAAAGAAGCGATCCACCTGACTCCCTCTGATTCCGTCAGCCAAGGCACGTCTTAGAGTACCATGACGACAAAATTACCTCCAACGCGCCTCCGATTCCCCCCATACAGGCCACAAACACCAACACTACACAGCTAGCATACTTGCACACTAGCTTAGCATTAGGCAGATACCGCACCCATAGGATAAGGCCGGGACTCCACCAAAGCAGAGATGTGTGCTGTGTGCTATGCGAGAAGAGATGTTTTTCAGCTCGGGTGCTCAGCGGGGCTCTGCGGGTTGCTGCCGGGCGAGAGGGGGGAGGGAGACATCGCTTACTATACGCCGCTCACATCTCGCGTCTCCACTGTGCGTCGTCCGCGCACAGCTCACATCTCCGCTTCCATCGCGCCATACAAATATAACAAATCTCGGCACAGCGATCTCCACTGAACCCGAGCGGAGAGGAGATGTGTCAATAACACAATGCTATTGGTTGTTTAAAAAACATCAGCTCTCCGCTCGTCTCGTCTCCGCTTTGGTGGAGTCCTGGCCTAAGAGTGCGATGACCCGGTCTACACACGACACGATATACCAGGTACAGGTACGTACCTGGACGTTTTTCCCCGGCCCCCAAGTCAACGACTCACTAGAGCCGAGGTCCGAGTCTCAGAGACACCCTCTAGTTGAGGTCGGCTCAGGTTAGAGTGGACGGAGAGGAGATTCCCCCCATGGGGAGATGCCATCCGCCTACAATATCTCAAGAGGCACTCGCCAATTCTCGGCTTGAGGTGCCCTAAGGATCTCGCCGTCCACAAACCCGATGACGCTGTAAAGGTCATGTAAGACCAAGAGTATACATACTAAAAAAACCCGGCCAAGTGCGAGTCGGACTCACACACCGAGGGTTCCGTACAAACTCAATTTAATACCTCTACGCGTTCATGAGAAAAGAGGTAGTACCTTCAAAATTTTCAAAAATATTTTTTATTATATGATGTAACTAAAAATTTACCTTTTTCGCAATCTTTCCTTTATCTCGAGGAGCTCGATGGCGGAGGAGCTCGATGGCGCAGGTGGTTAGCGCGTTCAGCTGCGATCGTTGTAGTTAAGCAACTTTCGCAGTGGTCGGTCATTGGATGGGTGACCAAAAATTTCTATCTCGAGTTCCTCCGTGCTTCGGAAGGCACGTTAAGCCGTTGGTCCCGGTTGCATCTGCAGTCGTTAGCACCCGCCAATCCGCACTGGGCCCGCGTGGTGGGTCATGGCCCAATCTCCCTATTCCATCCATACGAAAGGCCTGTGCCCCCAAATTTCAAGATTCGAAGTTCACGGGAAGTACCCTGTAGGTTTTGACTCCCGTGCGAGTTTCGAAATTTTGCGGAAATTTGCGGCATAAACCTCTGTATCTTTTGATTGCTTTGGCTTAGAAGTTTGTTTTTTTTCACATCTCTAAGGGACAATAGACATGAGTATTTATTACATATGAATTTCAGTTTGATACCTCTACGCGTTCCTGAGAAAAAATCTTGACACACGGACAGACGGATGGACGGACGGACGGACGATTCCGATTTTTCTAATGAATAAAATCAGTGCATCTAACCCGTTGAAACTTGTTTTATTTACGTAGAGAAGGTTCCTTCTTCTCCAAAGTGAGTAAGGACTGACCAAGAAGAATACAATACCATCTAAAGGTATTTTTATTTTATTGTGGTCTTTTGTAAGGAAGTTATATTACTAACTAGCTGACCCAGCGAACTTCGTACCGCCCTAAAAAAATAGGGGTTGTCCAGCGGACAAAATTGTGAATCTAAACCATTCTCAGATCCCCTTGAACACACACAAAAAATTTCATCAAAATCGGTCCGACTCCGTCCGTAAACGACTGTTTAAGAGAAGTTCAGTGACATACACACTCACAGAAGAATTATATATACAAAGATATAACAACAAATATGGACCAGTCTGCTACTTGGTTCGCGTGGAATTTTGTCTAATAATATTTTCTTTAGATTTAAAAAATTGAGCAGTTACATGCTTAAAAATAAAAAAATGGATTTTTGAATTAATTTAAAAAAACTGTTTACTGCTCGAGGTCCTATTAAAGTAATAATAAAGTGAAAATTTAAAAAATGAATTGTTATATTAAAAGTTTAAATGTAAAGAAAATTTTACTAAAAAAAGTTTAAAGTCTCATCTGCTGCCTGGTCCGCGTGGAATTTTTTCTAGTAAAATTATCTTTAAAAAGGAACTGTGTAACAATTTGTTTTCAATTTTATAATCATTACTGAACCCTAATCACAATAGTGGTAAGCTAATTACTTCGACTGACCTTTTTTCCTTAAATAATACACAACTCTTATACATAATAAATTTAACCTAATTCTCAGAATACGTGTACGAATTAGTAATACAGGTAACATATTAAACCCTTGCGTTTCATCCCCCTAACCCCAAAAATTCAGAATTCAGTGAAAGGTTTTCGCCCTCTGAGCAGTATAAAAACCATTTGCGCACGCGCCGCGCCTCCGATTCGTCGACATGGCTGTGCTTGCGCGATTGGTATGTTCAAATCTGCGTTCTAAATTTAAAAATTTGTTAAAAAATACGTTCAAATTTGATCAAATCATGGGAAAATATTTTTCAAGTAGCGGATATTTTTTTTTCATTATAGATAGTTTATTAATTAATGAGTTTTCATTAAATTTTTCGTTATAATTAAATGGTTCCTCATTTTGACATTAGCCTGAAATAAATGGTCATTTCCTTGTTAATTAATTACTATTTTGACGTATTTTTTTTGTGTGACAGTGCTCCAGGTTTAATGCGTATTAAGTTTGGTTTAAGTGACATGTGTTTAAGTGATAAGGTGTTAAGTGACCTCAACTCCTTTGTTGATTGATATACTTTCTAAGTGCTCTTTAAGGTGGTGATGTAATTAGTACAGTGCAGTGTATAGTTTTAAAGGCTTTAACAAAATATTAGTAATCGTATGTTCAATGATATTTTACGACTTATACTTGTTATTCATTAAGTGCAATAATTATCGGGAACTTGTAGTTGATCGCGAATAACCCTGATTGATATCACTGGCCCACTTGCAGCTTTGCTAAATCTCGATTAAACTAAAACGAAACTAGATTTATCCTGTACAAGAATTTCAAAACGACATTAACGTTTTGTCATTTTTCTATTGGTTAAATCTAGTTTTAGTTGAATCGTGATTAAGTAAATTTGCTGCAATCAAAAATAAGCCTTTTCATTGTCCTTAATGTTACCGTTTCATTTATTTGTTATAACTTCTATAAAAGCTTTTAGTTATGAAAATTAACTAAATGGCTTTATTTTCTTAATAAAACCCGGCGTACTTAGTACAGCCCAAAAGTAATAATGTGCAATAAAAAAATATTGCAACTATAAATTGAGATGTTAGCTAAATTATCTTTCAAGTTGAATGAAACTGCACACGGTGTGCAAATTTGATTAAAATCGGTTAACTAGTTTAGGAATCCATCCCGGACAAACAACGTGACACGCAATTAATATATATAATGAAGATTTTACGTAATACATACGTCATTTGCTAGTTTCAAATAATATAAAAGTGACTGACTGACATTAACGCACAGCCCAAACCACTGGACGGATCGGGCTGAAATTTGGCATGCAGGTAGATGTTATGACGTAGGCATCCGCTAAGAAAGGATTTTGATCAATTCTACCCCCAACGGGATAAAATAGGGAATGAAAGTTTGTATGAAACTTTGTCAATTTTAATCGGTCGGGTCGGATCGGGCTGAGACTTTGCGATAAGAAAAATCATAGATGAATGTCATTGTGTATAATACAAGCCTGAGAACAAAAACTGTAGTCTACACTTCAGCTCTACACCGAAGCGAAGCGAGGGCGGGCCGCTACTAGATAAAGAGGTTTCTGTAGAAAAAAAAATTAAAAAATTAAAAATAGCTCATGCTATAGACACCTAAAGAGGTTTTGACTCTAGTTTGTTATAGATCTGTGGATAATGTTATATTTAGGCTGTATATTATTATCAGGGCAGGTTCCGAAGGCTGTGCTAAGTTACATGATAACAGGTGAATGGTCCGTTGGCCTCTAAATATTTTACTTTCCGTTTTGTCACTCCCTTTGTGCTTAATAATTTATTGATTCCGTCATAAGTCTTGTCTATTTGAACCTTAATATTATATAGTATGTAATATTATTAACCAAATATAGGCTTTTACAAAAGACGTAGAAAAGGATATCTACTGTCAAATGTTCAACTTTTAATTTTTTTTTTAATTTACAGAAGGACTTTTCAAAGTGGAACTTTTATTAGACTAATATTATAAAGACGAAAGTTTGTGAGTGTGTATGTTTGTTACTTCTTCACGTCTAAACGGCTGGAGTGATTTTAATAAAATTTGGTATGGAGTTAGCTGACACCCTGCATTAACACAAAGGCTACGTTTTACTTCGGGAAAATATCCTTAATAAATAGCGGGTAACACCGCGGGGCACAGCTAGTTTAAATAATTACTGATAAAGTTATCAGTAGGAATACTTAAAACTGGCGAGATTTGATTACTTTTGTCTATCGGTTCTTTACATCAATATTTATCCTTGATTAATGATTCCCCATTCCAACACTTTAATTGATTGAGGATTAAATATTGTTTACTGTGTAAAGACACCTAGCATCTTTCAAATGTTAAGTAAGTCGTTAAGTGATCCTAAAGTGTCTTCATCCATCTGACTTTCAGCTTTATTGTGCTTGATGAAAAAGTGATAATAATCGACTGAGACAGTTTACACTTTGTGGTAACTTGATATGTGGTTGACGGTACTTAATAATTTTCATATTCGGTAGAGGGTATAAGCTCTTTATTAGGTAAATTATAATTACTTTGCTTAAGCTTTAAATTTGACGTAAATCAGTATAATTGTATATTTCATATAAGTACTATATTTTATCAAGGTAACATTAATATAGTACGTGTTAAACTAGAAAAAAAAGTGAAGTTATTTGACACGTAAAGCTACCAATCCGTAAACTTTCGTCACGTCTCAGTGTGGCCCAATTGAGAAACTTTGCGCGTGTTGTTCGACGCATGTATATGTTAATACTAATAAAACAGTTTTAAAAACTAAATTCCTTAAGAATCTTAGCCACGCGGATGTAATTTAGTTATTTAAATTATAATGTAAAGTACTAGCTTTTTCCGGGACATCACTTCACGCGTTAGATTTGAATTTGAGTAAATGTCAAACTCAGTAAATAATAAAAAAAACCTACAAAACTGTTAAAGTGGTCTTTAGAATCTTTGAAAATCCTTTCTTAACGCGCGCATTCTTCGTTGTAGCTATCTGTGTGCCAAAGGACATGGTAAAATTTTGTATGAGCGACTGCCCTAGCAATGTATAAATAATGTAATATATAATGCAGAATGGCTGAATATTTATAATTTCTATGAAAAAGGGCTCAGGAACTTTTGATAAAGTCACAATCTTGAAAATTATGAGATCTCCTACGACGTTATTACCTTGCTACATTTGATAAAAGAATTTCGCATTTTCTATTTATCTGATTAGCACTTCACAAAAAATATTTTTAAAAGTAAAAATAAGTACAGCTAATTTGTTTTCATGAAATCTGTGAATTTTTATTTTGTCAATTTGTAAAAATCAAAGCATTAATTATCATACAGCTTTCTCTCAAGCCTGATCAGAAAAATAAAATCTTTTATTTCAGGCCTTCAGTGATTTGTTATAATTAAAATAAGAACCAAATATGTCACAGTTTTTGGGAGTTTTGAATTAAATTTGTTTATTTCGATATACTGACAGAATTATTTTTTAGTACACATTTATTTTTCTTTTATTTTTGTAAAACGGAACATTTTCCTTTTGGAACTGACATGGAAGTAAATTTTTATACTTTTAAATATTTTATTATTTCACAAAAGTTGTATAAGAACTATAAACACGTAATAATTAATAAAAAAAATTGTGTGTGTCAGCTCCGACACCCGACTGGAGACGCAAAAAGAGTTTATTTAACTTAAAAAAGATTAATGAAAATAATATACATATATAAATATATATTTATTCATTTTATATACATTTATTATAAATAATCGACGAAATATTTTACATTAAACTTTTTACAATAGTGAATTTCAGATGTGCATAAATATATCATTAGGAATGTTGATAAATTATGTAATTATTATTATCACACTATTATCATTTTTTTAAATATTAATTAAATTAACATTGTCTGCATTATTAATTACAGTGACAAGTAACGTGTAACTAAAATAAGACACATGGACGTTCGTAGGTACGTGGTTCACGAATCTTGAAAATACCGCATCAATGGTGTTACCATACCTCGTTGTCTCCATTGCTCTATCAGAAAGAATATCTAAATTCAGTTCAGATTTTAAAAAAAATATTAATGTCAATCCGTCATCTTTGTTTGTCAAAGTTGCGCGACATAGGATGCGCACCAAAAACGTAACGAGGTCATTCATCGATAGATTTTACTCCTCACATTTTTCTCATACCGGGTCCCTTATATATGCAAATCGATTCTTAAGGAGTAAACTCCAAAAATATTATTTTTCTTAGCCATGTCCTTTCAGCGCAATCTGTTCACTCGTTTGACAATGCGTTGAAAGATCATGATTAAATTTTGTCAGACCGGCCATATAATCGTAGGTATTCTATTTTTCACGTTATGATTGAAGCGATAAATAATATATAATACGCACTATGTTACATAATTATTAATTATACAATATTAAACTAATAAATATTTGATAAACTTTGCGAATTGACTTAAGTATTTGAAATGTATTAGTCAAAATAGAATCGACAAGATATATTGTTTTTGTTTCAAATCGCTAACTCTCGTAACATGCGTTACTCAAGTAGGTTTTCACTTAAAGTGCATATTATAGTTACACGTAACCAATTGTAGTGTCAAGGTTACCCACGTCTGTTTCGCGGATTAGGCAACTGCACTCATTTTTTTTTATTATATTCTACTAAATGGAATATAAATAACTTCATTCTTGTGGTTAAGAATGGATGACTTTTTAACCGACTTCGTGTCGCAAAGGAGTAATTATGTAGAGATGTTTGTACCTTTATGGCATTTCACAGACCAAAATGGCCGATTATGATTTGATGATTCATGAATCGATTTTTAAATTACTCTGTTATCTAATAAAGACTACGAGTATTAGAAAATTTCCTGCGGTTTGTCACTGATATTTCAGAACTGACAGTTTAAGAAATTAATTAAAAGACAATATAAATGTAACTGTATAATACTTTTTTTTCTATATGGCTTCGCACGGTTTGTGCATTTAGCCAATGTCAAGTGTAAAATGTTAACACATTCTATAGCACTCGTGGTCAAAATATTAGTCAAGTCAAAGTAAGTGGCAGTCAAGTCAATCCCCCTTTCAATGAGGGTGTTAGTGAAAATTTACGTCGCCAGTTGGCGCCTCTGTGACGCGAGGTCTTTTGTATGAAGTTTCTGGCGCGAACTCCATAGACCAGATCCATAGACTATGAGAACATATGCGATTTGACGGATGAGTAACCTTTCGTCTCAGTACAGCCACCTGGTGGCCGTCATTTCAGAAAACCCTCATTCCCCAATAAAAACAAAACTGCTAAAGTGCTACTTCCCGATCCCGCCAAAAAGTCCCTTTAGAATACTTACATTCATTTTATTTATACTGATAGGCCATAGATAAATGATTGGTCTCGCTTCACTCGACGAGACTAATCATTCATCTATGCTGATAAGTTTCCCCGTGGTCCGTGTAAATTCTGCCAACGTCAAGAAACCCCTGTCTGTTGAAGTGGTGGATTTCTGCCACGTAATATTATAATCGCAGATTATAAAATACTATATTAAGCAATAAAATAGATAAATAGAAATAGATGCAGAAAATATTTAAGATTGATTTAAGACATAAATGAAGACAAAAGGTTCAGTAGAACTCTAAATATAACAAAGGTTTTGTCGGCCATTTTGCCGGGGTAATTACGATCCATATGCAATTGTAATAACCAATAAGACATTGGTTTATTTATGTTTCCTTATAGCCTTTGTTACATTTGATTGATTCGCAATAAGTTTAGCGAAACTCTTGCGCAACATACCGCGCATGCTTCTATGCTTAAGCACTTGAATTTTATCATCTATATACGAGTATATATATAAAACTCAAAGGTGACTGACTGACATAGTGATCTATCAACGCACAACCCAAACCACTGGACGGATCGGGCTGAAATTTGGCATGCAGGGAGATGTTATGACGTAGGCATCCGCTAAGAAAGGATTTTGATCAATTCTACCCCCAAGGGGAGAAAATAGGGAATGAAAGTTTGTATGAAACTTTGTCAATTTTAAACCGATCGGGCTGAGACTTTGCATGCAGGTATAAGAAGAATCATAGATGAATGTCATTGTGTATAATACAAGCCTGAGAACAAAAACTGTAGTCTACACTTCAGCTCTACACCGAAGCGAAGCGAGGGCGGGCCGCTAGTTATAATATAAGTGGAATGGCTCTCGTCTTTCTATATTATATATAACTAGGAGGAGTTCGATGTCACTGGTGTTTGACGCGTTCGACTGCGATCGTTGAAGTCAAGCAACTTTCGCAGTGGTCGGTCACTAAATGGGTCACCAAAAAATCTCGAGTTTCTCCGTGCTTCGGAAGGCACGTTAAGCCGTTGGTCCCGGCTGCATCTGCAGTCGTTAGCACCCACCAATCCGCACTGGGTCCGCGTTTCATATTTAGTATACTGGTCGTAGATAGACATATTTACGAGGATGGCTGGCACCGTCCTTCTGTGCTACAAAATATTACACAGTGCAGTAGATCCATTTCCCAATTCGTCACGCTTGGACGCTGATAGCTCACAACACATTCCATAATGAGATAGAATTTCAAATGTAGGCTGAAAGGGATGTTAGGTCATAATATTATGCGTATAAGTACATATCTACATAATATTGTATAATTTCCTATTAGCATTTCAGTGTTAAGTAATATTATGGTATGGAATAATTATTATTAAAGCGTAACTAACAAGCTGTATCTTTATGTTTCGGGCAAATAATAATAGTTTAATTTTTAATCTATATATATAAAACTCAAAGGTGACTGACTGTCATAGTGATTCTATCAACGCACAGCCCAAACCACTGGACGGATCGGGCTGAAATTTGGCACGCAGGTAGATGTTATGACGTAGGCATCCGCTAAGAAAGGAGTTTGATCAATTCTACCCCCAAGGAGATAAAATAGGGAATGAAAGTTTAAATGAAACTTTGTCAATTTTAAACCGATCGGGCTGAGACTTTGCATGCAGGTATAAGAAGAATCAAAGATGAATATCATTGTGTATAATACATGCCTGAGAACAAACTGTAGTCTACACTTCAACTCTACACCGAAGCGAAGCGAGGGCAGGCCACTATAAAAATAAATTTCTCAACCCCTGGCAGAAATCATCCACTTACACAACCGAAGGGATAACATTGTTGTTATTCAAATGTTGGTACGAAAAAAGCCTGCTTTCTTTTTATATCTTTAAATAGACTTGCTTCTAAATTTGAATTTATTAGTATTTTGTTTAGTTGCCCAATTTTATTGACATTTAATTATTGAATTGACAGTTTTGACATGTATCAACAGTTTCTGCCCAATTTACTGATATTTGATTATGATTGTTTTGAAAGTATTGACATATTATTTAAAGTGTTTGCCCAATTTATTGTCATTTTTTATTGTATTGACATTATTGACCTTTTCATTTTTGTAATTTGAATCTTAGAATAATAATAATGAATATAAATAATAATTAATTTGTATGCCGATATTGGCACAACATGTTGTGTACTTAGCTAATTATCACTGACAATCTTACTTACACATGTTGTTACAAATAAAATTTCTTTCTTTCTTTCTTTCTATCATGTTCCTCTTATTCTTTTAGATAAATATATTGTTTTCCAGGTGGTGTTATCGTTGGTGTGCGCGTGCGCATGTGCGCAGTACGCGGAGGAGCGCGCGCCGCGGTACATCGCCTCCGAGCCTAAGGTCACCTCCACGCCCGTGCCCATACTCAAGCAGATCAATAGGTAATTTTTTTTTTTTTTTTTTTTTTTTTTTACACTCACACCAATTAGCCTAGCCCCAAAGTAAGCACTATAAGGCTTGTGTTATGGGATGCTAGGGTAACGGATAGAATACATATACTGTACATAAATATAAGTATATTTATATAAATACATATTAAACATCCATGACTGGAGTACAAATGCTCGTATTCATCACACAAACATCTGCCCCCACCGGGATTCGAACCCGGGACCTCTCGAGTCGGCGACAGCCATGCAACCCGGCGTACAAACCACTCGGCCACGGAGGTCGTCAAATCATCATCATCTGTATCTACTGCTGGGACACAGGCCTTCCCTATGGATAGAATAGGGAGATTGGGCCGTGACCCACCACGCGGGCCCAGTACGGATTGGTGGGTGCTAACGACTGCAGACGCAGCTGGGACCAACGGCTTAACGTGTCCTCCGAAGCACGGCGGAGATCGTGATAGTAAATTTTTGGTCACCCATCCAATGACCGACCACTGCGAATGTAGCTTAACTTCAACGATCGCAGCCGAACGCGCTAATCGTTTGCGCCATCGAGCTCCTCATTAAATCAAATAGGTAATCATCCCTCTCTAATCATTCATTACTCAGCGTCATAATCACTTGAAAGGGGCCGTCCATAAATTACGTCATCGATTTTTTCAGATTTTAGACCCCCCCCCCCCCCTACAATCATCCTATCGTCATTTCTTAATGACCCCCCCCCCCCCTTCTCCCAAAATTGACATCATTACCAGTTTGACAAAATTAAAACATTGCAGATTTGAGAAAAATAGGGTATTATATGATTAAAACACTTGGTTATAGAATCACCTTTTATTATTTTTACTTTGGCAATAATTATTGATATATTATAATATAAAAGTAAAAAATAGGGAATAATAATATTATATATTCTTTGGATAACTCCCACGGAGTTTTCACCCTTTTTTTTTTATATTCTGGATCACGGGTAATATCTCCGTATCCTTAGCCGCCTCTCACATTTGCAGTCTCACTTACTAGGTGTGCTGGAAGAAATTTCTTTTTACAAATAATCTTTTTGTACGTGAACAATAAACTATAAATAAATAAATAAGAATGACGTCAATTTCGAAACACCCCCCCCCCCCCTATCTATCATTTACCGTCATCCGCAGACCAACCCCCCCCCTAATTTAGAATGACGTAATATATGGACGGCCCCAAAGTAACACTTCTGCTGGTGTTGTGTTTCTGTCGGTGAGTCTCTGTCCACTCGGTAGGGGATTGGGTCAGGGTAGGCAACGGCGCGTGTGATATTTTTTGTATCTCAAGCGTCTATAAGCTATGGTGGCCGCTTACCACCAGGCGGGCAATAAACTTATTTTCCGCCCTATGAATTAACATAAAAGACCTGAAGAAAAGTTTTAATAGAAAAATCCACGCGGACCAGGAAGCAGACGGGACTCGAACCCACACCCTTCGCAATCCGGGCGAATGCACTGACCGATTATGCTACCGCGGCCCTGATAGCCGCGTCTAAATTTTCCTATACTTAAGCTGCAAGGCAGCAAAAAAATTCTGTGATGTTCACTTGCGAACATCGGAACCCGTCCCCCATGACAACGGCTAAATAGAGCCGAGGTCCGAGTCTCAGAGACGCCCTCTAGTTGAGCCGACCGCCTCAGGTTAGAGTGGTCTAGAGGCTCCAGACGGAGAGGAAACTCCCCCCGTGGAGAGATGCCATCCGCCTGGAATAACTCTAGAGCCTGGGTTCCGAACCTGGGGGTAATTACCCCTCCGGGGGTAAATCAGCCATACTTCGGGGGTAATAAAGAACCTAATTATATGGTCAAATCTAAATAATAAGAAAATACTAAATAGAACATGCGCTCCTTCTTGCTAGCGAGCCCGCGGGGTGCTGAGTGTGGGAAGCGGGGCGAGATTTTCTCCTGATGATGACATTATTAGAGACGAAGATGTAGCGGCCAAATTGATATTTCTTGGACTGATGATAACATTTTAAAATCGGGGTAAAATCTGTTTTCCTAGTAGGTTACAGGGGTAGCAGTATTGGAAAGGTTATATAGCGGAGGGTGTGGTTTCGAGTCCAATCTGATTCTTGGACCGCGTGTAATTTTTTATAGTAAAAGTTTCCGTCCAGCTGGTAAAAATGCTTAAAATAAAAATAAGCACTGCTCTAGAGGCACTCGCCAATTCTCGGCTTGAGGTCCCCTTAGGATCTCGCCGTTCCCAAACCCGGTGACGCGGTAAAGGTCATCTGCGACCAACAGCATACACACTCAAAAAAAAAGTATAGAGCGTGCTTATTTTCTTCTACATCTATCCGTCTTTTGAAATCCAAAATCGTCGCACTAATATCTGACGCTCAAATCGTGACGCTGCCTTGTAAAGTTACCCTCATTGCGCGAAGAGGTGTTTCACTTCAAAAAACACCTGATTGGCCCCTGCGAAAATTTGTTTAATTTCGAACATCGGAACACGCTTATCACATCATCATCATCAGCCTATTAATGTCCCCACTGCTGGGGCACAGGCCTTCCCTATGGATGGATTAGGGAGACTGAGCCATGACCCACCCCGCGGGCCCAGTGCTGGTTGGTGGGTGCTAACGACTGCAGATGCAGCCGGGACCAACGGCTTAACGTGCCCTTTGAAGCACCGAGGAGCTCAAGATAGTAAATTTTTGGTCAGCCATCCAATGACCGACCACTACGAAAGTTGCTCAACTTCAACGACCGCAGCCGAACGCGCTAACCACTGGCGCCATCGAGCTCTTCGCTTATCACGGCACTATCTAAGGCCCGTATTACAGAATGACAACTAAGTGTTGATCTTTACTTGAGCATAGTTAGAAAGGGATGTCGCTACATATAGCACATAGCGACATCCCTTTATAACTGTACTCAAGTAAAGATCAACACTTAGTTGTCATTCTGTAATACGGGCCTAAATCTTTAAGTGATATTTACACGATTGACACTTTAAATGTTAACTAATCAAAAAACCTGTTGGTACACTTTATTATCGTAACAGGTAAGTAGATATTACCTGAGGCTGGCCTAGTTCAGCCTATGAGCCTGTTTAAAGGTAATTGTGGGTGTGGCTCTAGGTTTAGTATGATTTTGTCGTTGCTTATTAACAACTGAGGGTCAATCGCCTAACGGAGTTGCTTTGGCTATCGCTATCTGTTACGATTACATTTTGTTTTTTCTGACCGCCGAAGGTTTTCAGATACCTCGCGCTCTTTTTATTCTTTTGCATTGGTAATAATTTTAATATAAAAAAAAAATAGCGTAAGGTATTTGAAACCAAAACGAGAACCAGGACAAACGAAAACTTCGGCGGTCAGAAATAACAAAACGAAATCGTAAGCGATAGCGACAACCCATAATAATAATAATCCCATTAGGCGATTGGCCCTCTGGTCTAGAATATTAATGATCAAAATGGATGGATGGATCCATTGCAATTTACATTTTTATAAACATTGACTATTATAATTCTATAAACATTTAAATTTGATATGAACATGTAATGAATGAATTTAATTTTTTTCTCAATTAATAATATGATGCAGATTTATAAAGGACATGATTTTAAATCGTTTTGAGATTATTTGAATTATTTAATTTTATATGTTTTCTGTATTGCATGCTGTGTGACAGTAAAATTTATGTGATACTCTATTTATACTGAATGTGTAACATAACATCAAACGTAAATGTAACATCTTATGTACACCATATTTTATACAAATAAGGACTTCTGACTTAGTTTTAATTTGACGTGCCCTAGCTAAAAATAAAGTTACATTGAGCAAAAAGTTCTACGCACTTTTGAAGCTGATTTAATAACCATCTGTTTAAATCTAAAGAAAATATAACTAGAAAAAATTCCACGCGGACCAGGCAGCAGACGGGACTCGAACCCGCACCCTTCGCAATCCGGGCGAATGCACGGACCAGTTATGCTACCGCGGTCCTGACGGCCGCGTCGAAATTCCTCTAGCTATTCTTAATTTGCAAGGCAGTGCCATTTCTTCGCATTGTAGGTAACGATTATTACCATCTATTTGATGTGTTTTTGAAAATATATTATTATTGCTCAACCTAAGATATATTTTTGCTATAGACCGTTGAAACTTAAGTGATTCGATAGATGCGGGGACCAATCTTGAAATTTTTGCCGCCCTTTACTGACATACTTTACGGCTGACCCTAAGTCAATTTTGCCGCCCCTAATTTTTGCCGCTCTGGGCAAATGCCCGGCTCGCCCCCCCTTGGATCGGGCCCTGGATAGATATGTCTGGGACAGTAATAGCTTTAAAGTTTGCAGCACGATATCGCGCACCATATATTGACATTACCTGAACCCTGGGTTTCTGTTGATTTGCAGGCACAACGAGGATGGCTCGTACACGTACGGCTATGAGGCGGCGGACGGCTCCTTCAAGATCGAGACCAAGTCAGCCACTGGAGAGGTGAAGGGAAAGTACGGGTACAAGGACGACACCGGAAAGGTACATTTTTTGTTTTTTTTTCGTCAGGAAAATGCGTGACACATACACCGAGGAGCTCGATGGTGCAAGTGGTTAGCGCGTTCGGCTGCGATCTTCGAACATAAGCAACTTTCGCAGTGGTCGGTCATTGGATGGGTGACCGAAAATTTCTAACTCGAGCTCCTCCGTGCTTCGGAAGACACGTTAAGCCGTTGGTCCCGGCTGCATCTGCAGTCGTTAGCACTCACCAATCCGCACTGGGCCCGCGTGGTGGGTCATGGCCCAATCTCCCTATTCCATCCATAGGGAAGACCTGTGCTCCAGCAGTGGGGACATTAATAGGCTGATGATGATGATGATGATGCACCGCCACCTGGGAGTGGCAAAGGGGCTATGAGGGATTCCTCCTGGTCTCGCCCGCCCGCTCAGCCAGTCCTGGCTCAGCGACCGCTCAGGAGGAGGGGGGGGGGGATACCCACTAAAAACCTGACGGTGCCCCTCACCTCACTCGGTCCACTGTCCCAACTAGCGTGGGCGAGACAATGGCACTAGACGAGGCCACGGGAATCCTTCCGGAGTCTTCCGCGACCTCACCAGTAAATGTCCGAGTCGGAAACGGACACATCCGTCTCCCCTCGAAAGAGGGGAGTGTTGGGGATGCCCCGGAGCATCATGGGCATCCCCAGCCATCAGCAAAGACCTGTGCACCGGAAGTGTACCTACTCTGTACTTATTAATAACTAGTGGCCCGCCCTCGCTTCCTTTCGGTATTTTATCGCCTTGGGGTTAGAATTGATCAAAATCCTTTCTTAGCGGATCATCATCATCATCAGCCTATTAATGTCCCCACTGCTGGGGCACAGGCCTTCCCTATGGATGGAATAGGGAGATTGGGCCATGACCCACCACGCGGGCCCAGTGCGGGTTTGTGGGTGCTAACGACTGCAAATGCAGCCAGACCAACGGCTTAACGTGCCTTCCGAAGCACGGAGGAACTCGAGATAGTAATTTTTCGGTCACCCATCCAATGACCGACCATTTGCGCCATCGAGCTCCTCTTAGCGGATGCCTACGTCATAACATGTACCTGCATGCCAAATTTCAGCCCGATCCGTCCAGTGGTTTGGGCTGTGCGTTGATAGATCTCTATGTCAGTCAGTCACCTTTGAGTTTTATATATATATAGATTTATATATGAATACTTACCAAACATCCATGACTGGAGTACAAATGCTCGTATTCATCACACAAACACCTGCCCCCACCAGGATTCGAACCCAGGTGTACAAATCACTCGAGCACGTCGGTCGTTAAAATGCGGTCAAAATGATCTAACAAGCGGGCCCAATTGATGGTTGCCAACGACTGCAGATGCAGCCGGGACCAACGGCTTAATGTGCCTTCCGAAGCACGGAAAGGAACTAGAGACAATCAATCATAATCATTATCAAAATCATTTATTCAGTTTAGGCTGTTACAAGCACATATGAATGTCTAGAAGCTACGCCATCGGTTCGTAAATCTACGGCGGGAGACCTTGTACTGAGAAGAACCGGCAAGAAACTCAGCAAGGGCTGTTTTTTTTCTCCCTGTTTTGTCATTTACAGAGTCGTCGTATAAAATGACTTCAGAGATGATTCATGAAGTCACCTTTCATTACTTAATGTGAACTTGTACATTAATTGTTCACCTGCATTTTGATTGCTGTGTCACACAGTATAAATACAAACAGAGTTATTTATAATAGGTGAAATTAAACATTAACATTTTAAATATCAAAGTAGTTAGGGCAGACTCATCTCCGCTGGCAGCACCCGTTCACGAGCATGACGCATGAACCAGCCATCGCTTCGCTCAACCATATTTTAGGGAACGTAACGACCCGCCTCACTCGATACCACCGAAGAGTATAGTATTTTTTTTATCGTTATTTATTATGTGTATGTTATTCACAGGTGCGTGTTATTGAGTATGGAGCCAACAAGTTCGGTTTCCAGCCAGCCGGCGAGGGCATCACCGTAGCCCCGCCCACACTCGTTGACGAGTCCACCAGGGAAGAGGGACTCCGACCGCAGAAGTCACAGGTAATTAAGATATTATTGGTATCCACAGCTAGAGTCATATAAGTAAAGAAGCCACAGTTTCTATTGGGTTCACTCAGATACACACATTGCATGAAGCTCAGCTTCCAATATACAATAAATTCAATATACGTTTGCTCGTATACTGATTCATATATAAGTATATTTGTATAGAACAACATATTAAACATCCATGACTGGAGTACAAATGCTCGTATTCATCCTACAAACACCTGCCCCCACCGGCATCCGAACCCGGGACCTCTCGCGTAGGCAACACCATGAAACCCGGCGTACAAACCACTCGGCCTCGGAAGTCGTCAAAAAGTCATGAATATAAACTGGGTACTATTGTGATTCTTATAAATTACTAGCTGACCCCGCGAACTTCGTACCGCCATAAAAAAATAGGGGTTGGTGGTAGAAAGTTGGAAATTTAGGGATATACGTATTTTTGTATATGTACTGATCTAAAGTTAAAAAAAAAATTAGGGGTGGATTACCCTTAACATTTAGGGGGATGAAAAATAGATGTTGTCCGATTCTCAGACCTACCCAACATGCACACAAAATTTCATGAGAATCGGGAAAGCCGTTTCGGAGGAGTTCAACCGCAAACACCGCGACACGAGAATTTTATATATAAGATATTTATTATATGTTCTAAATTCAAACTTCTGTTGCAGTCACAAGGCGGTCGTTCCCAGTACCGCGCGCCGGCCCCCGCGCCCCAGTCCATAGATTACGACTACGAGGACCCCGCGCCCGCCCCGCCGCCACCCCCGCGCCCGCGCCCCACGCCCGCGCCCTACCGCGCGCCCGCGCCACAGCCGAGACCTCAGCCGCAACCGCAGTATAGACCGCAGCAACAGCAATACAACCAGCAACAACAGTTTAATCAGCCGCAGCAACAGTACAGGCCGCAACAGCAATCTGCGCCTGCGCCTGCGCCACCCAAGGTACGATACTGACTGAACGTATTGGTAATAACCATATCACTTGCCGCTGCCGCAGCAATACAACCAGCAACAACAGTTTAATCAGCCGCAGCAACAATACAGGCCGCAACAGCAATCTGCGCCTGCGCCTGCACCACCCAAGGTACGATACTGACTGATTGTATTGGTAATAACCATATCACTCGCCGCTGCCGCAGCAATATAACCAGCAACAACAGTTTAATCAGCCGCAGCAACAGTACAGGCCGCAACAGCAATCTGCGCCTGCGCCTGCGCCACCCAAGGTACGACACTGACTGAACGTATTATTAATAACCATATCATTAATTACCCGTACCACTAGCCGCTGCGCTGCATTATAACCAGTATAATCAGCCACAACAACAATACAAGCCGCAGCAAAACTCCGCGCCTACGCTATCTAAGGTAAGATATAGGGTAATGGTATTAACGTCCACCCCAAGATCGCCTCGTTATGCGCGCCGCCGCCACAGCCGAGACCTCAGCCGCAAGTATCCGCATAAGTGCCGCAGTATAGACCGCAGCAGCAGCAATACAACCAGCAACAACAGTTTAATCAGCCGCAGCAACAATACAGACCGCAACAGCAATCTGCGCCTGCGCCTGCGCCACCCAAGGTACGATACTGACTGAACGTATTATTAATAACCATATCACTAATTATATACATATTCCGTGCTTCGGAAGGCACGTTAAGCCGTTGGTCCCGGCTGCATCTGCAGTCGTTAGCACCCACCAACCCGCATTGGGCCCGCGTGGTGGGTCATGGCCCAATCTCCCTAACCCATCCATAGGGAAGGCCTGTGTCCCAGCAGTGGGGACATTAATGATGATGATGATATCACTAATCTAAACAGTATAATGAGCTACAGCAACAGTACAAGTCGCAGCAAAACTCCGCGCCTGCACTATCTAAGTTAAGATATAGGCTAATGGTATTAACGCCCACATCAAGACCGCCTCGTTATGCGCGCCGCCGCTGCAGCCGCGACCGCAACTGCAACTGCAGTATAGACCACAACAGCAGCAGTATAACCAACAACAACAATACAGGCCGCATCAAAAGTCTGCGCCAACGCCACCTTTTTTTTTGTGTCTGGAAAATGCCTTACGCATCCTTCAACCACTGGGGGAGCAAGAAGAAGGTATGTGGGACTCCTCCCTGTCCTCTTCAGCCAGCCCTGGAGCTCGCTGATGTGAACAGGGCCCTACCTACGCCCTGAACAGGGCCACTAAAAACCAGACAATACTCCTGCACCGTCACCCGACACGCATTATGAGGACCGCGGTCCCCCTAGTGCATGCCGAGAGGGCGGGTGTGGTCGCGGAACCCGTCTCCGAATGGCCGCGCAACCGCGCCAACGCCACCAAAGGTAAGATATTTGCTAAAGGTTTTAATGAGCGCTCCGAACTGCACTCTGCCGTCGCAGCCGTGCCGGAAGCTGCAATATCCCCTGCAATCACAGCAGCAGCAGTATAATCAGCAACAACAGTTTAACCAGCCGCAGCAGCAATACAGGCGGCAGCAAAACTCCCCGCCAATGTCACCTAACATACTGACTAAAGGTGTTTGTTGTATGTGTCTGTGAGACCAAAGAGAGAGCTAACTTTGATATTTCCTTTCCAGCCAACCTTCTTCGCCGGAGCCGCGCCTGCTCCTGCCCAAGACGACCGCACCTCTTTCTTCAGCCCTGCACCTTCACCTGCACCCCAGCAACGCCATTTCAACCAGGACTCCTTCAGACCCGCACCCCAGTTCCAGAAACCACAGATAGATTACTCCCAAGACTTCGCTCCAGCACCCCAGCCCAGGTTCAACCAGGTCCAAAGCCAGAGAAGCCAGCCGTTCTCCATGTTAGACCAGCTCCTGAAGGAATACGCCCTGCCCCAAGGTGGTGCCGCGCCCCTCCACGATATAACCTTCGGATCCTATTAGTTTAAGCGATAATTCTCATTTTATTTTGTAAATACTTAGTGAATATTTTTTTTATTAATGTAAATTAAAAATTACGAGACCAGGGGTTTGTTATTCATTTTTTTTTCTTTCCTTACACGTTATTTCCTTAGGCAGCGTAATAAATTTTAGCCTAGCCTATGATTATAATTCAGAGTATCAGATAACTTGGCTGAAGACAGGGGTGCTCTTTTAGTCCAGTCAATGAAGGCAAAAATCAGCTACAACCTCCGATTTCGTTGAACCTCCATCGATTTTCATGAAAATTGGTGAGTAGGTGGGAGATACCTTAAGAAACAAAAGTGATATAGTGCCAACTTTCGCTTTTGCCCTGGGGGTAGATGCCACCTCTTCCCGGGGGGTGAAAATTATTTTAATAAAATAACTCAAGAAATCGATAGAAAAATAAATTCTAAGCAAAATTTGTTATATAAAGATTTTGGAATAAATCAACACTTTCTGAGTTATTAAAGACCAAAGATTGTGATTTTTCGTGATAAAAATACATTTAAGGCGGTTTTTATAAATAACTCAAAAACTATGAGTTTTTACATAAAATGTATTATTACCAAAATTAAAGCTATTAAAAAAACAAACATACCCCTACTTTGAAAAACCTTCTAATATTAATTCAAAGTGAGCTATAGGAAATTGTATGTATATTTTTTTCGGCGAGTACTTAAATCTAAATATTCACCTTAACGGGAAACCGATGCATTTTATGACATATACTTCCTGAACACTTTTTAAAGTCCTTGGAAATAATTTTCTAATGAGCACTGTAAAAAGTTAAAAGTATCAAAATTGAGCAAGTTTTGATAAAAATAAGATGACACTTTCGATTTTTTTTTGGAAAAAACGAAAAGTAAAACCTTTACCATTTCCACAAAATTTCAAATTAATGGTTATCCATATTTTTTTTTGTAAAAACTCATTGTATTTGAGTTATTTATGAAAAACCGCTTTAAAACATGTATTTTTATCACGAAAATTACCAACCTTTGATCTTTAATAACTCAGAAAGTATTGATTTAGTCTAATAACTTTATATAACAAATTTTGCTTAAAATCTGTCTCACTAATCGATTCCTGGAGTTGTTTTTATTAAAATAATTTTCACCTCCGAGAAGGGGTAGCATCTTTCCCCGCAGGGCAAAAGCGCAAGTTGGCAATATATCACTTTTGTTTCTTAAGGTATCCCCCACCTACTGGACCAATTTTCATGAAAATCGATGGAGATTCAACGAAATCGAAGGTGAAAACGTTCATTGAATGGACTATTTCTTCAGCGCCAACAACACCACTTCAATCAGGTCTCCTTCTGACCCGTTCCAGGAACCACAGATACTCCCAAGACTTAGGAGAGCATCCCCTGGACCGAAACCGCTCTCTTTGACTAGGCTTTAACTATGTGTATATGTACCTGTGAGATTTTTAAATGAAACTTTGAGATGAATAACTTCAGAATGCCTTTAAGGTTCTTGTTTTAGAAAATAATCTTTAAATGTTTTTTTATCAGCTTATGGCTACTTCTGCAAACGAAAGAAAATATAGCGTCTGCTTGGAGGAACCAGGGTAACATAATGGTCAGTGCATTGGCCCGGATAGCAAAGGGTTCGAGTCCCGTCTGCTGCCTGGTCCGCGTTTGTGTTGTCCGAATTTTTTCTAGTAATATTTTCTTTAGATTTATACGATATATACATTTTTCCTACTTCATTTACAGTTTTATTTTAATAATAATATTATTTAAATTAATTGTTTTACTATAATTTGTAGTATTATTTGATCGCTCTGGTCACAATAATTTGAAACATATTATATATACCTATATCTCATATAACGTTTGCAGAAAACATAAAAGACAACAAAAAAAAAACACATTCTCATACGATTTATTATTTGCAACAATAAAAACTGAAATTATTTATCTATATATATAAAACTCAAAGTTGACTGACTGTCATAGTGATCTATCAACGCACAGCCCAAACCACTGGACGGATCGGGCTGAAATTTGGCATGCAGGTAGATGTTATGACGTAGGCATCCGCTAAGAAAGGATTTTGATCAATTCTACTCCCAAGGGGATAAAATAGGGAATGAAAGTTTGTATGAAACTTTGACAATTTTAAACCGATCGGGCTGAGACTTTGCATGCAGGTATAAGAAGAATCATAGATGAATGTCATTGTGTATAATACAAGCCTGAGAACAAAATCTGTAGTCTACACTTCAGCTCTACACCGAAGCGAAGCGAGGGCTCGCCGCTAGTAAACAATAAAGCACCAGAGCGATCAACAGAATAACGTTTTTTTGAAGAATTAGCTTTATACGAGCAGGTTGGGTACTTCGTTACTCCAAGTAATCTTAGAATACGAGTTCCGACGCAGTAGTAACGCGACAGAAACGGCTCGAAATATCAATTCTGCGTTTGGTGAGGAGAATGCTTATGAACGAATTGAGCGGTTTTTTTCATTTATAATATATTTTAAAATTTATGACGACGACAAAGTTTTTTCGCGGTACTACGTAAGAGTACACTGCGGAAGTAAGAGAAGAAGAAAGGACACCCGGCATTTTGTGCTAAAGTTGTATACTTTTTTATTTTTTTTATCTGTGTTTCATAATTGGGTAACGTAGTCTGGCAATATTTGTCATCAGCAGCTAGCTGTCAATGTCAAATACATAGGTTTGTCATCAAAAGGGTTTCTATATCAAAAAATATTAATCATTAAATAACTTCTTTCCACGATTCACTAAAAATAAGGCAAAAGTAGTTTAATGTAGCAAATAATTTTGGCTTTATTTTGAGACCAAATTCAACTGTATACAAGTTTAGCATTTTTTCTATGAAAAGTGCCGGGTCTCCTTTTTATGAATTTCGATTTAAACATACATGAGACATGGAAGAAGAAAATAGGCTACTCAAAGTACCAATCCTACGCACACGAAGTCGCGAGCAGAAGTTAGTGTGTAATATAGGAAAATATGAATGTTTGAACTCTTGAGAATTAGATTATTCTATTGTGTCTGATAGCCTTGTTATTTGATTACTTTAGAATTATTCTCAGTGTATAAATATTTAGATAAATTATTTCCGAGTGTATTGTTTTATTTTCACTTCCGTTCATCTGAGATTGTTTATGGTTGGTAGTATTATCTAAAATATTCGGAAAATAAAAACTTAAGTTGAGGTATATATTCATACACAAAATTAAAGCTAATTCGTATCGTATTTCGAAAAAAAAACCACGCTGACCAGGCAGCAGACGTAACATTGTGGGTTACCTACAATGCGCAGAGATGGCGCTACCTTGCAGCTTAAGAAAGGCTAGCAAGAATTCGACACGGGCCATCAGGGCTGCGGTAGCTTAATTGGTCAGTGCATTCGCCCGGTTAGCGAAGGGTGCGGGTTCGAGTCCCGTCTGCTGCCTGGTCCGCGTGGAATGTTTTCTAGTAATATTTTTTTTAGTATTACATTTTTAATGTGACATTTCTACTCTGAGGACAGAATTGCTACGGACCCAGGGATTCGATTCCGAGGCAAATGTTTTTGTGATGAATACGACCATTTGTGCGGCTTCGAGTCACGGCTGTTTATATATATTTCTACAAATATACATAAAGTTACTTATTTATACACCATTCATTTTGAGTTAACTACTTGAAAAACTTAGCTAGCTAATCTAAACAAAGATTTAGTGTCGCCGCATACGGGCCACCCACCACAACCACAAAACGCCACCACCGGCATATTTCTTGTAGTTTTCATACATTTTATATGGACTCGCGACACACGCTACAAATCGTCGTTGCTCGCTTCTTGTGGCCCGCACCGGCCACTTAATGCGCTGATACAAAATGCCGCCACACGTCACTCGCGCGATTCCCCACCCCTCTCTCCCTTACCTTAGTCGGCCGCTGTCGCGCGCTTTAGCCACTTTAGTAGCCGCTTCTAACTTCTCGTAGCGGCGTTTGTGGCTGTGGCGTATGGCCCGTATGCGGCGACACTTAGATTGTAGGTGAGGATGGTTGGTGTGGCAGTTTATAACTGCTGTACCAGCTATCTTCGCGTTTGGACTTTATCACCATTTAACTTCAGGTGGGGTGGAATCAATTGCTTACCTCGCTACAAAAAAAAATGTATGATTTCTCCGTACTCAGCACGTGCTGTATCAAGTAGATCGTCGATATCAATCTAAGGTGCAACTGTTACGCAACATATTATAATAACGCACTACTATTGTTGCATGCTATAGCAAATAGGGGCCGTGGGACACCTCTTATCCGCACAATACCACATGGGAATAGACAATATGTGCTACATTTCCCAGAGAGTTGCGCAACAGACTGTTATATAGGAACGAGAGAAAATTACCTGCTGTGACCTTAATATTGTCTTTTAGACTTGGAATCCACCATCTATGAATGAGAACCAGAGAAGTGTCAGCATTTCACTATGAAGTCATAACAATTTCCATATTATGAACCAACTTCGGGGCCAATCGCCTAACGGAAATGCTTTGGAAAACGCTAACGCTTACGATTTTATTTTGTTATTTCTAGCCGCCTGAGGTATTCAAATGCCTCGCGCTCTTTCTTTTTCTTTTGCATTGGTAATAACAATATTAAAAAAAATGAGCGTGAGGTATTCGAAAACCTCAGACGGCTAGAAATAACAATATAAAATCGTAAGCGTTAGCGTTTCCCAAAGCATTTCCGTTAGGCGATTGGCCCCCTGGTCAGTCCGACTATTATTAATATTATTTGTAATAGTTATTTTCTGTTTTATTATAGTATTCTTAAGTATAGTGGTATTTATTATTGTATATGTGTATGTATTTATCGTATTATAAATATATAAATATGTTATATATATGTAGTTATTTAGGTATATTTTATACGATAATCGACTTTAGTGTTCAATAATAAAGATTATATTATTGTAAAATCAAAGCTTAATATCATAGAACGAAACGGCCTCATATCATTGCGTTCTATTAAAGACTGTATTTTCTTCATGATAAAGAACATATTGGCGTGCAGACAATCCGAGGAATAGTTGCTC